GAAGCCAGCTTTCAGCTGCTGCAGAGAGAGCCATACAAGGGATCGGTTCCAGTAATTGCCCCCCACAATGAGCTGACCATCCTCCCTGCCCACATCTGATTCACCCAGCTGCCTGGGCCCCCTTGCTGGCCTGGGCCCCGTACAGGAGGACAGGTGGTACCGCCTGGCACCAGTGATCCTGTTGCTGGTAGGTTCTCGTTATAGAGCGTAAGAGAAATACTCTCCAATTCCCATGTGGTGCTCCCTTGCTAGCTGGATGAGATGTCAGTCCCTTGCTGGCAACTTCCATTCTTGAAGCATTTCCATCAACAAGGAGCAATGGCTCACTCATCCAGCCAGCAAGGGATCAACACATGGAAGTAGGTGAGTACTTTTTCTGCAGTTTCTAGGGATCCTATTGCTGGGAGATCTAGTGGCCATAATGTAGTATTTTTCAGCAAAATTCTTCATTATGACCACACAGATGGAGCTGATGATCATAGAAATACACATATTAGACACATAGCAAGGATGTTTTGTAATGGATGTGCCAAGGGTGAGGCATTCGCACAACTAATTATTTTATTAATACACCCTTTAGCTCCATGAACTGATGACGCCCTTTGCCCTGAGAACTCCTCACAGCAATGTTCCTCACTACTATGTACTGACTATGCTGACAGCTCCCCCGCTAACCGTCCCAGATATAGATATGCTTTATAATAAGATCAATGACAGCAGAAAGGTTCTTGGGGACCGCATCCAAATGTTGATGCAGTTACACCCCTGCTTGGAACGTATTCCCTATATAAATATGAATGAAAGTCAAACAAGCAGGGCCAGGACAAGGGGTGGGCAGAAGGGGGGCTACCCTGGGCACTGGTGACATGTTAGGTGGAATGGGGGGGGGGGGGGGTACCAAGGAGAGTTCCTGATGCTACAAGCTGACAGGAGTAGTGACAGCAGCATTGCTATGCCTTTCAGATTAGCAAGGGTAATGACAAGCCAAATCTTTGCAGGAGGAGAGAGCCGAGAGGAGGTGCAGTCTGTGCTCTCTCCCCACTCTGGCATGAGTGCCCCTTAGCATGGGTAGTGACAAGCCAAATATTTGCAGCAGGAGAGAGCTGAGAGGAGGTGCAGTCTGTGCTCTCTCCCCACTCTAGCATGAGTGCCCCTTAGCAAGCGGCTTGCTATGGTGGCCACTCGGCAGGGGGGAGGAGCCAGGAGTGCCAGCGGGGGACCCGAGAAGAACATTGCACAGAGCAAGCAACTATGACATGTTTGTTATTAAAAAAAAGATGGGTTTACAATAATTTTAGGAGTAACACAGGTACTTAAAGGCACCACAAAGTACCTGCACTGTGGCACTGTGGTTGTCTTATAAATATTTTACCCCACATCACCACAAAGGCAGACAGGTAAAGTTTATTCCCTATATAAATATGAATGAAAGTCAAACAGGCAAGGCCAGAACAAGGGTGGGCAGAAGGGGCGGCTGCCCTGGGCACTAGGGGCGGCTGCCCTGGGCACTGGTATCATGTGAGGTGAAGGGGGGGGCACCAAGGAGAGTTCCTGATGTTACAAACTGACAAGAGTAGTGACAGCAGCATTACTATTCCTGTCAGATTAGTGACAAGCCAAATCTTTGGAGGAGGAGAGAGCCGAGAGGAGGTGCAGTCTGTGCTCTCTCCCCCCTGTAGCTTCACACTCCTGTGTGCAGATTAGTGATTTATTTTGGGGATGATGGGGATTTTGCTGACACATAGGGGTTGACTTACTAAAGGCACATAGATGGTGCACTTTGCAAATTGCAGTTACTCCAGAGCTTAGTAAATGAGCAGAAGTTCTGCTGACTTCCGTCATCCAATCATGTGCAAGCAAAAATGCAATTTTTTAATTTTCCGTACATGTGATTGAGTATTCTTAGCAATGTGAAACTTTTCCTCATTTACTAAGCTCTGCAGCAACTTTGCAAAGTGCATAGTCTATTTGACTTTAGTAAATCAACCCCATAATCTTCACACATTTGGGTGGGGGGGAGTAGTTTGGCATCTTTGCACAGCAAACAGGACACCAATTGCGAGATTTCCATTTCTCTAAGCTAAGGGTCTCCAAACTATGGCCCTCCAGCTGTTGAGGAACTTCGGGTCCCATGAGACATTGCAAGACACTGATAGTCACAGGCATGACTCCCAGAGGCAGAGACATGGTGAGACCTAAAGTCAGGGTTGTGGATAAGGGGGTACCACCAGTCCTCCTGTACAGGTCTCAGGCCAGCAGGGGGGCCCAGGCAGCTGGGTGAATTGGATGTGGGCAGGAAGGATGAACGGGGAAATTACTGGATCCAATCCCCTGTATGGCTCTCCCTGCAGCAGCTGAAAGCTGGGTTCTTCTCCTCCCCCCCCCCCCCCCCCCGGCTAGCTTTCAGAGAGGAACATACAGGGGATTGGTTCTAGTAATTTACCAGCCCCTTTCATTCCTGAATGAACACAGTGAGTGATTTATTCATAGCTGAGACACAGGCCCTGTTAAGTTGGCTGTATGTCGCCCTGTGGTTTGGGGGGGGGGCTGTCAGGTTGGCTGTAAGGGCCCCCCGTGGTTTCTAACAGCAGCCCTGCCTATAGTCCCTTAACAGCTTGAAGTCCATAGTTTGGAGAACCATGCTTGAGGCTTTTTGTACTCCTGGACAGGGGCGAACTGACAACTCATGGGGCCCCCGAGCAATAGGGGATCATGGGGCTCCTGTGTCCTTGCCCAAACTCAAAAAAGCCTATGAAAAAGGTACCAGGGGCATCTCATGGGGAACCTACTGAACCCGGGCCCTAGGCAGTGCCCGAGTTTCCAAATGGTCAGTCCGCCCCTGCTCCTGGAGGTTGCTGCATTAGGCTGGTGATTGGATCAGTTGCAGCCTTTGCTATGGATCGCTTCGCACTGGTTTCTGTCCAGTTTCCGCACTGCATCATAATCGCACCATTGCTTGTGTATATTTCAAGTTAACAACACCCCGAAATCAATGTGCAGAATTTGATCACATGGGTGTTCACACCCATGCGATCCGATTCTGGTGCAGACAAAAAAGAGGGTTCTGCACTTTCTTGGTGCCGATACAGAGTGATTTGAGCCACACAAAATGTACGGGCAGCACAGTAGCTAAATGGTTAGCAATTCCACCTGGCAGTACGAGGGTTGTTGGTTTAAATCCCAACCACGGCACGACCTTCCTGGAGTTTGCATGTTCTCCCTGTGTTTATATTATTTATCGGTTGTTTTTTTTAACATACTGTCACTCTAGCAGTACAGTGTCACCATAGTGACACTGTACTACTTGTGGGGTGTGATGTAGATTTTTTTTCCTTTTTTTTACACTGATTTCTTTTACACCCGTAAAGGCTATACATCAGCATCATTAGCAGCACAGTGGCTAAATAGTTAGCACTTCCACCTGGTAGCACTAGGGTCGTCGGTTCAAATCCACGGCACCACCTGCCTGGAGTTTGCATGTTCTCCCTGTACCTGCGTGGGTTTCCTCCAGATACTCCAGTTTCCTCCCACACTCCAAAGACATGCTGGTAGGTGAATTGGCTCCTGTCTAAATTGTCCCTAGTATGTGTATGTATGAATGTGAGTTAGGGACCTTAGATTGTACGCCCCTTGAGGGTCAGGGACTGATGTGAATGTATAATATATATATAAAGTGCTGCTTAAATTGACAGCGTTATATAAGTACCTGAAATAAATAAAATAGATTGAACTGCTCAGAGATCGCATGTGATTTGCACAGGAATGCGTTGCGAATCACATGCGATGTGCCGCACCACATTAGTGTGAACCCGGGCTGAACCATTTGATTGCATCATTTAATAAAAATGAGGCATCAACAACAGGAATGAAGAGACTCCGCCACTTTCATTGAGCCCTGGTTCACACCGGTGTGACTTGTCTTGTGATTCCACAGTTCCAAATCGCAGGAGAATTTGCACCCTATTGCCAGCAATGGAACCCTTTCGTATCACCGCGACTCATGCACTACTTTTTCCCAATTTCATTGCGACTTGCTTAGACTTCTGTTTATGAATTTGCAATCTGCAATGAAATCAGCTGCAATGTAAATCACACTGATCTGCGGCTTTGAATTCGCGCTGAAGTAGTTCGCTTTCAAAGCCGCATTCGCTGTGAACCAGGGCTAGTGCAGTATCTCACTCAAGTTATTGTTTTGGGAATTCTATGTTCTCATCTGTTTTGTTTTCTCTTAGACCTGGTCCGAACATCTTTCAATAACATCGCTGTAAAGCATTTTGAGCAGTTCCCCAATCTGTACAGAAGTGCAAAGGTAGGGCTTATTATTCCGTTTCTTTTGGTAAATAAAACGATTTAATCTTCACCTTTTACAAACTAATATTTTATCTTGAAATTCCTAAAAATGTAACTCCACGTTTGTGGACCAAACCCCCCCCCCCCCCCCCCCCCCCCCGCACCCGGCTGATCTATATACAGGATTTTAAAGTGTTACCAAACCCACAACAGTACAATCAGTCTGTAGATGCAGTAAAGCATGCTTGTTGTACTCACTGTGGAACCTAAGGGGTTAATCCTCTGCATTGTGTAAAAAGGCTGATCCTCTTATCTCCTGATAAAACATATCATGTGGAGACACTCTGCACATGCTCAGTTTGGTGTGTATTGCCAGAGAGGTTTTTTTTCTTGAGAGAGTGCATGCGTACAGCACAGGGCCAATCAGCACAATCCAGGCAGAGAGTCAGGGGTTTTGCATCCTCCTAGAGCAGAAAAAAAACAACTCCTCCTACACCCTTTAACCAGTGCTCTGCTGGACACTGATAGAAGTCACAAGACTGCTATATACTGCTGATGAGAAAAGGTGTTTAGCAGTTTATATTTACTAAAATAATTGCACTTCCATGTTGTGTGTACTGTTGGAGATCAGATATAGTGAATTCAGGGTCCGGAGAGACCAGATATATAGTGAATGCAGGATCCGGGGAGACCAGATATAGTGAATGCAGGATCCGGGGAGACCAGATATAGTGAATGCAGGGTCTGGGGAGACCAGATATAGTGAATGCAGGGTCCGGGGAGACCAGATATAGTGGATGCAGGGTCTGGGGAGACCAGATATAGTGAATGCAGGGTCCGGGGAGACCGGATATAGTGTATGCAGGGTCCGGGGAAACCAGATATAGTAAATGCAGGGTCTGGGGAGACCAGATATAGTAAATGCAGGGTCCGGGGAGACCAGATATAGTAAATGCAGAGTCCGGGGAGACCAGATATAGGGAATGAAGGGTCAGGGGAGAACAGATATAGTGAGTGTAGGGTCCGGGGAGACTGGATATAGTGAATGCAGGGTCTGGGGAGAGCAGATATAGTGAATGCAGGGTCCGAGGAGACCAGATATAGTGAATGCAGAGTCCAGGGAGACCGGATATAGTGAATGCAGGGTCCGGGGAGACCAGATATATAGTAAATGCAGGGTCCGGGGAGACCAGATATAGTAAATGCAGAGTCCAGGGAGACCAGATATAGGGAATGAAGGGTCCGGGGAGACCAGATATAGTGAATGCAGGGTCCGAGGAGACCAGATATAGTGAATGCAGGGTCTGTGGTTTAGTAACACGTTAACAAACTTTTTGGCAGATTCCTACCTTTTTCTGTTTTGAAGAAAAAGCTGTTTGTTCCAGTACGTTCTTGCAAGAATGACTCTTGAATGGGAGTGTCTGGGTTCATTATAACCACCTGAGCACTTTCAGTGTTCTAATGAGGAAAGTTGTAGGGTCTGCAGCCCTATAGAAGTATTTTCCCTTAGGAAGTAACTCACCAAAAATGAAATTCTTATTGCAGGGGGTGCCTAAAATTCGACTTGTATCTCTAAAGTGCAAACATATGAGGTATGCAGCACACTGGGCTGGGTGGTCCTCACTGATATACAGCACACTGTAACTGAAGGACACCGTGGTGATATTTCTTGGGGCAGGGTCATGACACCCCACATCCACATTATGCGCTTAGTCTTTGATTGTCCTTTAACCCCATGACTGGACATTTTGTGCTGATGAGGTCCTGCAGGGCACAGCTCCCGAATGTAGGTGAGTATTGCTTCATTTTTTTAGCATCACCTAGAAGAGTCAAGACGTAAAAATGTATCCTTGACCTAAAACAGATGCCAATTGATCTGCCAGAAATTCAGTGAGCTCCTAACTTCTTGATTGAGCTGACAAAGCTGCACAAATCCTAAGCAGTCTTATCAGCCTAGCCCTGCCCGATGTTCCTGTGCTGTGCTACAGAACACCTCCCCCCTATTTTATGGAAATGAGGAGAGGGAAATATAGTTTTTTTTTTTCCCCAGAAGTACATTTTAAAAGCAGAAACTGTAAGATCTCAGCTATTGCCTTTCTTAGTCAGAACAGACTCCCCTGTGCTCCTCTTTGACTTTGTTTCTACCTTGTTTCTGTTTGATCTTGTTTTCCTGGACTTTTCCTTAGGTTCCAGTCACCTATGAGTGATATAGTATTGTGAGCGGAATTGGCGCAATTCTGAAAAACGCCCCCTAGCATTCCTAGCCACAGCCATCTTGAGTTAGGGCAGATGATTCATGTAGCATTTACTTTCTGGGATCCATCTGCCCTTAGCTCAGGCATGCAGGCAGGAAGGTGTGCTTAGCTGAAAAAGCCCCTTCTGAAGACTTCAGGGATGTAAAACTTTGTTTTGGTCTAGGCCAGTGGTCTCCAAACTGTGGCCCAGGGGCCAGATGTGGCTTTGCTTGCTTTTATCTGGCCTTTGGGGCACTATTTAATCCACTGATACCAATGATACCAAGAATGGGGCCCAATGATACCAATGATGGGGCAGAATTTCTCACAATGACACCAAAGGTGGGGCACAATTTCTCCCAATGATACCAATGATGGGGCACAATTTCTCCCAATGACACCAATGATGGGGTACAATTTCTCCCAATGACACCAAAGATGGGGTACAATCTCTCCCAATGATGGGGTACAATTTCTCCCAATGACACCAAAGATGGGGCACAATTTATCCCAATGATACGGCACAATTTCTCCCAATGACACCAAAGATGGGGCACAATTTCTCTCAATGACAGCAATGATGAGGCACAATTTCTCCGAATGATACGGCACAATTTCTCCCAATGACACCAAAGATGGGGCACAATTTTTCACAACGACAGCAAAGATGGGGCACAATTTCTCCCAATGACACCAAAGATGGGGCACAATTTCTCCCAATGACACCATCATGGGGCACAACTCCTCTCACTAACACCAAAGATGGAGCATGGTTTACTCCCACTGATGCCGGGACATTTTCCGGTCTGGCCCTCCTAAAGTCTGTAGGACAGTAAACTGGCTCTTTGCTTAGAAAGTTTAAAGACCCCCTGGTCTAGGTCATAAACCA